ATATATATACATATATATATATATATATATATTCAGAGTTGTCCTTCTCCTAGTCCAGTTGCCATCCAAGGCTATAGAACCCAGTATGTCCTGCTATTTAACCCATAGCTGGAGGGGAAGAAGAGGATTCACACCTTTCCCAAGGGTATTAGCACGAAAGTGAATGTAATGGATTCAACCTGGATTCGAACTCGCCTCTGCGATTCCACAATCCAAGCCGATATCCATTAACCCACCGTCCCTCCATGAAACCTGAGGGGGGTTGTTTGGGGACCTTGTGGCACTTAGTGCACCAGGTCTCTGTATTCGGCCCCTTCAAAAAAGTGTGGATGGTCCTGCACGAAACCTTCACCACTACAATCGAATCTCATGTGCCGGTGTCGGGCTGTCAGTTTCCTGAAACTGATCTGTTTGACCCTCATACGTCGAACCCGACGTCGAACCCGACGGAGAATATATATATATATATATATATATATATATATATATTGGTGGCAAAGTATACATCGAGTGGTTACAATTCAGATTGTATTATTGAGGTAACAAAGTATTCACCTGGACACGTTTCATTAATTTAAACAAGTTCTGTTTAATTGTCATTATATTTTTCTTAAATTTTGAAATGTTTATATATTGGGATCAGAATTGTATTAAAATGTCGCTAGTTCGTATTTCTCCTGCTGTCTATTGTACTTACGACCGTCTCCGTCATTATTAAGAACCATGTGCTGCCAGGGTCGTAAGCAAGATTCCATTAGCTTCATCCTGGTATTTTAAAACTGACTACGGTAAGGTCCTGTTCATGCTGTTTTTTTAAACGCAAAAAAGCATTACACTCAGGTATTCCTTTTGGGGTTGTCCCGCTTCTTGTAAACGTTACACATAATATTACTTTCAGCTCTCTGTTACCAAAATATAGACAACGGAATCTTGTCTACTATGCAGACAGTTCATGATTCTTAGTAATGACGGAGACGGTGGAATTTCTTGAACAAAGACAACAGAAACAGAGCTTCGGACACTTTCTCCACAGTTTCGATGCGGACATCCAAAAACTGGAGAAAAACAATCTGGAATAAAACAGACAAGAATTTTCGGTTAAATTTAATCTAGTTCCCGAAAATCAGTATATTGTTCTCGGGGTTCTTTTATTTCCTCGTCCATGTTATCAAAAGGAGAAATATTTTTAGCAAACACACAGCAGTTGGGAGAGTCTTCACTTCAATATTTATCTTTCAAATTTCCAGAGAAGATTCGAATTTCAAAAATGTTTGCGTTTATTTGAATTTTATTTACACCAGTTAAGGTTATGTTTTCCATATGTCAAATTTCGGGTCGAGTGTGCCTTTTACAATTTGAATACTTGAGCAACCGGCCGACCTTGAAACACAAGTCTAAGTTTGTCTATAAACAGACTAAAATAAGCCTTATAAATTAAACAATAACATCTGCATTCCATTATTATTCTCAAAGATTCATTGAGAAAAGAAGTGAGTGGCTTTCTGGTAATTTCTTTCTATCGATTTAGTTATTTATTTTGCTCCTACACACACACACACACACACACAATATATATATATATATATATATATATATATATATATATATATATATATATATATATATATATATATATATAGTTAAATATAACAAACAATGATAGTCTATTATGTTTGATCATGACCCGTTCTATTCTTCGTATTGTTACTTTAGTTTCAGGAGCAAATAAAGACAAAAATTGTCCAACATTTGTCTTTATTTTCACCCGAAATTAAAGCAACAATATGAAGTTTAGAACGGCTCATGATCAAACATAATCTACATATCTGTTATAATTAACAATATATGTTTAAATAATGATCTGGTCGCCCAATACACTATATATATATATATATATATATATATATATATATATATATATATATATATATATATATACAAGATATTTTTTATGTTTATACGTTCTTTTATATATATATATATATATATATATATATATATATATATAATCAGCTATTCAAAAATACTCATTTGTATAGCTATTTCACCCCACAAGAACTATCTATCTGTATACGCTGCGTTACAATAAATACATTGATCTCTCTTTGTGGATTTGTTTTAATATCTTATATTATTAGGATTCATTTGTATTATTTACCTATATATATATATATATATATATATATGAAAAATTGCAAAAAAAGATTTTGTGGCGCGTTTCATTCGTTAGGATTTCATCGGACTGGCTTTGTGTGTAGGCAGAGTGAGAAAGAGAGATAGCTAGTTCGCTAGATAGATAAGATATCTCCCAATTTTCGCTAAAATTCAGCGGACTTGATGGATAAATTATCGAACTTAATAAAAAAAACTAAGTTTTAGCATCAACATATTTATGCTCTTATTCAACAAGGAAAGCTCATTATTTTTCATCATTGAATTTTTAATCCTTTTTATAACATTTAGAACTTTTTTTTTTCATTTTCTCCGTCAGCGGATGACCATAAATTAATATAGGAAATTTAGCGTCCTTTTACGGTGAAAAAAACATAATGATTTGGAAATTCTTGCCCCCAAAACTAATTGTCAGATTTTTATGAAACTTTCAGGACTTATTCACAAATCAATGAAATTATTTTAGAAATATTTCTCTTTTAGAAAAATATTTTCAAAAAATAATGTTTTTTCATCTTTTACACGCTATTTAATATCGAGAAATTCTTTTCTGTATGAGTTAGTGTGTATAGTTGATATGATCTGAATTCTTTTGAGAATTTAAATCATCAATTTTCTTTTGTAAAACAGAATCCCCATTTACCGAAAATTCTCTCCGAATTGTAAAATAGAAATGCAATGAAACGAATACCTTATTTAATTAGGAAAGCTTTTAATAGCTTTTATAAGTTAGTGACATTATTGCCTTAAGAAAAATAATATATATACCGATATATCGGTTTTACGAAATAAAATATTACCATGGGTTTCTAAAGGTTCTGCTTTCATAATTATCATTTGCTCTGTTCTTACACTAAGCTCTCTTGGATTTATATCCTCTTTGGAATTATCCAAATAATATCATCTATCTATCTATCTATCTATCTATCTATCTATCTATCTATCTATCTGTCTATCTATCTATCTATGTTTGTATATATATATATATATATATATATATATATATATATATATATATGACTTTTCTTTTCTTCAGTTTTCTTCGTTTATTTTTGAATTTTTTTTTATTTACGATTATTTAAAGCAGAATAGGCAGCGGACAACATCGCTAAAAATGAAGCCTCTCATCGCAAATATGGGTTAAATGTAATAATGGCATCACAAATTTCGAGGAACCGGTTCTATAAATGCAGGTAATATTTAGGAAACTATTCTGCTTATTTTCTTTTCAGTATGAGAATGGAAACAATCACTTATTATTATAGTATTGAAAAGAATGAAACCATTTTGATAATTTAATAGAAAACATTTATTTATTAAGATATTCGCCCGATTGAAATTTTGTTCTCATCATATTTCTGTTCAGAAGTATGATGCTTTTTGGCTCTAGTGTCATCAGCTATGTTATGGTCTTTTAGCCATTTTCAAACTGAATCACTGTAGTCCCAAAGATCCTAATGGAAGACCTATCAAATTTATGACTAGAAGATTTGCCACATTTTTAACTTCAAGACGATTTCTTCCATAAGAACAAATTATGTTCGTCACTTACAGCAATAATAGGTTTATGGTAATTTCTCGTTATGTTTTCAACGTAATCACGGAAATCATTATTGTTGTAGTGCGGTGGGGTGTCACGAGGCGCGCGCCCGTACATAGCCTAACTAACGTTTTACCTAGACCATCGGCTATTAACATATTAGATTATTTTTAGATAATCCAACAGCCGGTTTACTAAGCGTTGGTATTTGTAAGAATCGGATTGCAAGAACGGATAGGATGGCACTACTGGTTATATGGCTGTCTTTGTTGGGCTCTCGAGACTTGTCTAAAAGGAAATTCTGAATGTAAAAGTGTGGATATGGTAATGAGAAGCCAATTGATTATATTTACAAAAAAAAGACATCATGTCAACGTAGTTAGCAATAATAAAAAAAAGAAATTCGTGGAGTGTCATTATCTACTTGTGATTATATTTATAGGTCTCGGATTCTTTATCTTTCATGAAATTTTTATTTCGTCTTTCTCTACGTCATTGCTCTCTTTCTATCAATTCTTTTCATCTATAGCCATCTTCACTTATATTTTTCTTATCTCCATCCTTTCTCCTTGGGGGTGGGGGGAGAAAGAGAGGATTCATGACCTCCCCAAGGTTATTAGCACGTAATCGACCTGACTGGAATTCGAACTCGGCTCTCTGATTCCTCAATCTGAGCCGCTATCCATTACTCCACTGTGCCTCGCATTTTGTCACTCTAAACTATTGATTCCAAATCCCAATGTATGAAGTTTATTGTCGCAAGAACTGATTCAATTCTTATTTGTTCATGTGCTTTTATTCGAAATCTGTTCGGTCGATTGCAACTTAAATGATATCTCGAATAAACATGTTTTTCTTCGCTTAGCCAACTGCTGAATAATTTGAACAAATACTTGATGATGCCAACATTAATACGGTTCGTTTGTCATGCTACTTATAATTTCATTCACCCCCTAGCGTGACATTAACCAGAGAAACTCCTACGTTAAAGTTCTTCTTGATTTGTCTGAAAATAAGAATCAGTGCTAATGCAAACATCTCTAAAGAATAACGGATTTACGTTAATATTTTACACATGGGTTTAATTTTCATGTTTCAGTGGTTCATAGATTTTTATGTGTACGTTATATCATTTGATTTTAAGATAGCTGTAATGTTATTTTATGTGTGATTCGTTACCGTTTCAAAAGCTAAATATTTTCCCTATATATCCATGGCGATGGCCATATGTTGAATTCTCTTTGCCATTTTAATGAATAGCAAATGAAAAAATATTTGTTTGGCGACATTAAGATAAACAGGAGAAGAAGAGTAAGAATGAAATTATGATGAAAGTAGACAGAAGTAGAAGGAAAGGAATATTGGGAAAAAAAGAGAAAAAAAATAGGAAGAAAATTTTAGAAGGAATGGGTATAAGAAAAATATACGTAAAGAATTGATAGAAAGAAGAAAGCAATGACGTGGTTAAAGAGAAAGAAAAATGAAATAAAAATCTAATGAAAGGCAGCATATTCTCTTTTAGACATGTCTGACTGAATAAATTACAGACATTATTTCTACTAATTTTTAATAAAATCCGTTCATACTCTCGAATAACCTTCCGTGTATTGATGTTAAAGAATGAGGGAAATGTGCTATAACTGTTTAAATTTCTTTTATTTTCATTTCCCAAGATCATCTTCAGGGAGCAAGTAGTCAGTCAGATACACGCTTAGACGATCATCTATCTTTTCATACATTACTGACGAGGCAGATTTTTTCCTGTAGTAGGTTGATATTTCTTTTTCCGATAGACAAGTTACCATCCAAGCTATAGAACCGGGTGTGTCCTGCTATATAACTGATGGTGGGGAGAAGATGAGGATTCATACATTTCCCAAGGTTATTAACACGTACGTGAATGTAATGGCGTTGACTGGAATTCGAACTCGGCTCTCCGATTCCTCAACCCAAGCGGCTATCCATTATTCCACCGAACAAAACTATATGTTGTTCAGGGATACAAGTACAAGCTGTATGCTGTTATCCATTACCGTAAGTTTTTAATACGCATTTAAATGCAAAACGGTTGACAATGTGCTGAGCGTTCATTAGAACTTGAAAAAATTATCCAATTTGGAATTTTTTTTCCTCTATGTTATAATGTTTTATATAGTCTTTTCTTTTTCTTTCTATCACTTTTATTAGTAGATATAACACACTGTAAATTATAAGATTGAAAGAAAAAGATTGTAAATGAATTTGGGTAGATATAAAAAAAATTCTATTATATATATATATATATATATATATATATATATATGTGTGTGTGTGTGTGTGTGTGTGTGTGTGCGCGCGCGCGTGTGCGTTAATATCACCCCAATCCACTAAAAAGAAATGTTTTACTAAGTTTGGGAAGAAAAAAGACAATCATTTTAAAGAGCGAGAACAATAGTAGAGTAATCAGGCAGATTGACATTGCATTTAAATTTTTGAAGATCAAATTTGGATAGAAAGTACGAAGCAGCAAGAGAGGTTCCCAAGAGTGAAGTACAGGAAAGTTAACAAACTGGCTGATTGTTGTGGTACGATCCACCTAATTTACATAGTGGAGTACCGACCATATAAATATGGGTTGGTACCAGAAGACGGGGGGAAGGAAGAAGAGATCGAATCGAGAGACTCTGCCCGACTGCGATTAAGTCAACCCATTCTGCAGGAACCGTCTTCCCAAGAATATACCAAAACTAACTGTAAATATTGTGTACCTTTTCCTTGTTTCAATACATTTTGTTTACGTACATTTTGTGTTGTATTATTATTATTCCATGCTTATCCAAGCTTCAACACTGATGAAACCCTTTTGATAGAAATCTTCGTAGCATAGAGATCAATGTTTCAAATATTTTTTGTCATAAATTGGCCTGCATTTTCGTTTTTGAAAATTGTCTTGAACATTGGATTTATTTAGCCGTTCCCTGTTGACAAATAACACTTTTTTGCATACATTGAATTACACTATATAAATATGTGTGTGTGTGTGTGTGTGTGTGTGTGTGTGTGTGTGTGTGTGTGTGTGTGGATGATAGAATTTTGAAGAATCAGAATACTCATATAGCGTCATACCAGCAGAAGAAGAAGAAATTGAATAGACTCGATATAGTGCCGCTACTAACAAATTCCGTGGTGATACTCATCCAAGTATTCATAACCCAACAGTTTGTGACCCAAGTGCAAGGCTTTCCTTTCCCCTTAGCCGCTCCATCGCAGAGCATTAACTGGGTCAAGCAAAGATATACAAGTGATAGAATTTTGAGGAATTAAGATAATCAGTACGGTAATTCATCGAGTCTAGAATAAACCTCAACAGAATTCACAAAACACTAAACGGTCGTTTTGTCCTATTTGGGACTCATCAGCAGTACACATCCACTTCCAAGAATCGAACCCGGACCGTTTCGATTTAAAGAAAACGTCATACCAACGGGCCTCGGTGACGAAGAAGAAAAATTGTGTCGTATCAAAATGGTCCCGGTTCGATTCTTGGAAGTGGATGCGCACCGCTGATGACTCCCAAAATAGGACGAAATGGCCGTCCAGTGCTTCTGCATTCTGTTGAGGATTATTCTAGACTCGATGAATTACTATAATGGTATATATATATATATATATATATATATATATTCTACCCTTTAATACCTCCCGTCCTCTGACCTCTCTCTCTCGTCTCTTTCGTCTGACGGAAACATTGAAATGGTTAAATTCTGTATTATTTTTTTGGCCTTTTTTTTTAATGGACTTTATTAAGGTAAATGTAAGGATTCTATTTGAAACACAAGTAAAATATCGTTCGGTTTTCAGCATTTTTAATTTAAGAACTGTCAAATATACTTAATGCGGTCAAGGTAAATAAAGAACTACTTCTTTTCCATGGACTTTGGAACATTTGTGAAATTCACTCTCAGTACGAGTAAGAATATGTTCGGCTAGATCGTCAGCCAATACCCACATCGATGTCACTCTTTTGTTATAATTAATATATTCATTCATTAATATTTGTAGATTATTTATGTTACTCTTCTTGAAGGGAGAGAGGACGAGTAATCGTGATATATTCATTCTGTCAGGCTAAGTTCCTTTGTACTGTTGCAGATCACAATGTTCTAATCGAAGTATTCTTCAGTCTTCTTTGGATAACTTTTGCATTTTGGAATGAGAATATAAAGCATAAATTACCATTTTATTAGCACAATATAAGCCTCTTTTTATAGACTCTGATTTCATTCAATATGCAGTTATACACAGCAGGACAAATTCTCTAACCCTAATTTTTTCATCAAATGTGGTGTCGGTGGTATTGAATCCTTTCTGAGGCAATCACAGTCCAGATGGGCTGGTCATGTCATCAGAATGAGTGATGATCGGATGCCGAAAATCCTCATGTATCGCCAACTTTTTCATGGTAAGCATAATGTAGGCCGACGTTTCAAGGACAAACTGAAATACAATATAAATGCTGCAAACATCCCCATAAAGGATTTAGAACTCGATGTTGAAAACGGGGCAAACTGGAGAAACACCTGCTACCGAGGTATAACTAACTGTGAAAAGAATCGTCTGAACCAACTGAGAGAATTAAGAAGCAACACTAAAATCTCGAGCCAAGATATCAGACCATATGACGGTCAACTCATCAGCATGTCCTTCGTGTGGACTTAATTGCAAATCTCGTGCAAGATTGTTGTCTCATACGAGACATAAACATAAAAATAGAACTGAAGTACGTCGAAAATGACGGAAGAGTTCATTATTATAAGAAGACATATTAATAACAAAACAAAAAAACAGTTCATGAGAAAACGAAACAGTTCATTACAAAAAAGAAACAATTTATTACAATTTAAAAGAAGAATTCATTAAAAAAAAATTCCCACCGAAATATAACGATTAGAAAACAGCTGCGCCAGTTTATCTTGGTCCTGTCTCATCAGAGCAAAAGATAAAAAAAAATTGCCAGGCGACAAAAAAAAAAAACCACAAACTAGTGACAAACAAAAATACAGACTGTCCCCGCAAAAATGACATAATTTAAAATATCAATATGTAACTACATATCCTAGGAGAATAAAATTAAAAAGGCTTCATATTAAACAAGAAAAGATTTATTTATCAAAAGTCGAACAAGATATTCAAAGGGATGTAAATTTCATAATCGATTTCACAAAGCTTCACAAATGTTCCATATGCCACCACCTGTGATACGATACACGTCATGTCGGTAGTTTAGCTCCTGCCAAACACGCTGTAGCATGTCTTCCGTAACATTCAACAGTGCCTCAGTGATTCTCTGCTTAAGTTCCTCTAGGCTTGTAAGAAGATAGAGGATATATACCGGCCCTTTCCTATAGCCCCACAGAAAAAATCACAAGGTTTCAAATCAGATGAACGTGGTGGCTTCAACATTACATTGACATTATCACTGGCACTTTTGATCCATCTTTCTGGTAGATTCTTAGTGAGATAAATTCGGAGAGTCAACTTAGTTTTTACACATTTTTTTTTTTTAATTTGAGATCATTTGAGAGAGATTTGGCTATGTTGTTAAATTACAAAATGATGTCATTTTTTACGGTGGGGGAGGCACCCTGTATAACATTGTTACCATTTCTCAATATTATTATTACTTCAAATTTGTTTCTTACTAAAGTTCAACGTATAGAGGGCCCAAGAGTCATTCCAGGTGGAGGATTACTTGAGGAGATTGTTGCGTAAATGTTAACCGTAAAAGGCACTGTTTATGAGGATATGTTGGTACCATAACGGTTAAACCTAGATGTGAACAGATAAAATTGTATTGGTCAGAAAAGCATTCATGGTTGCACAAATTAACGGTCGTTGGGAAGAGTTTCAAGATGAACTTCCTCCTTACTAATGGAATACAAATAGAATGAGGACATTTTGCCTCAGTTTGCACGGCGTGACGGATTTTAGCTGTGAGGATTAGACGAGGTAAATATATTGTATCTCGTCTGAACATTTGCCATGGAAGTCGCGATAGGCTATCCAGAGAATTGCAATGCTTCTCCTGAAAAAAAATGACTTGTAGGGTGGAATATAATTCATCACTCATAAGGCTGCGAATACGTTTTTCGATCCTTTCGATTTTAAAACGGGCAGCTCCGGCCGAAATGTTGCAGCACTAGTCTCTTTTCGGCCTGATCTAGTTGTGTAAATGATGAGACAAGCCGAAGCGGTCAGATACTTAATGGTGCGCTAATTTTAAATAACCGCTAATTTTAAATAACATTATCTATTGTCGTTATACTGAAAGTAATGTCGATTTAAGAGAGTAGAATTATCAGCTTAATATTCGACATTAATAAAATCAACTCGAATTGGTCACTGTATTTTCATTTACTCTGGTCTTACTTTCGATGTTCTTAATAATTTATAGAAATATATTTAAAAGAAACAATATTGTAAAACATGAAGAAAGAATATGATAATGTAGTCG